ATTCACCACAATGTAGAATCAGTGAGAGCCCTGAGCTTGTTTTCCTGCAACTAAATGGTCCCATCTGGGGGTGATGGGAGACAATGGCGGATAATCAGGCATTAGATTCTCATAAGGGACAAACAACCTAGATCCCTCCTACAAGAAGTTCATAATAGGGTTCCAGCTCCTATGAGAATCTAACACCTCGGTTGGTCTGACAGGAGGCAGAGCTCAGGCAGTAATGCAATGACGGGGAGTGGCTGCAAACACAGATGAAGTTTCTTGCTGGCCTGCCGCTCACCTCCTGCTGTGTGACCCGCTTCCTCAGTGGCCCCAGGGTTGTGGACCCCTGGTTTACAGTACGCCAATTCACATTCTCACCAATCACGCAGGAGAGTTTCAGTTGCGCCACAGCCTTGCCAATACTTGGTACTGTCAGTCATCTGAATTTTAGCCATTCCGGTGGGTGAGTAGTGGGATTGCAATGTGGTCTCAGTTTGCATGTCTCTGATGACTAAAGGAGGTTGAATATCTTTTCATTTCCTTATTGGATATTGGATATCCTTTTGTGAAATTCTTAAGTGTCACGTCCATTGTTCTTTTCTGTGGTCTTTTTCTTATTGATTTGTAGAAGTTCTTTTAGATTTTGCCTGTGAGTGCTTTTTGGATATGTGTATTACAAATATCTCCCTCCATGCTAAGGTTTCCCTTTCCATTTATGGATGGTCTTTTTTTGGTGAATAGATGGTCTTAATTGCAACGTAGTCATCTTTCTTGATTTCTGTCTTCTCTTGCCTCTTGGCCCTATTTACTCAGCTTTCCAGTGTCTTTAAATAGATTCTAAAAAATAGTTTCTCCAGCTTTTCTAGATGCTCCCAATGGAAGAACTGGGCAGAACTCCCTTGGGCAATCATCATTAATTCATGTGGTTATTTCTTCTGGTGTTTTCATACTTCTCAATTTATATATTTAGAATGCGATTTCTTGATTTAATATTGTAGACACATTTATTCATGATATTGTGGTACATGAGCATTTAACTATATGAAACTTTTACTCCACAGTCTCTTATCCTCTTAATGTGGTTCTTTCATGATTTAAAACTTCAAACCACATTTGCTTTACATAATATCAAGACTCTCTGAAACATCATTCACTGCAAGTGCATGTGATTGGCAAGGAATTTTCAGAGTCAGTTGTATTTGGCATGAGTGCGATTCTCTTTGAAGTTTTCGGCAGCTCTAGTCAATATTCTAGATCTTTCCAGAATAGTCTCAGTTTCAACTACAGAAAGCTCTAGCCATTCTGAGACTGAACTGTGGCAGTTTCCCACTATTTTGACGTGACCCCAGAGCATGCTATGTGGAATTTATTTCCTGAGGCCTGGCTTTGAATGGCTGTGCAGTGGAGAGCAGGACAGTCACTTAGCAACCAGCTTCTCAGCAGACTCCCCGGTGCCCACTTCCCAGCATGGCTCCGTTGGGTCTTCCTTTTGTCATAGACACAGCAACTCTTGTGACAGGATGAAGACTTGGGAAAATGGCCTCAAAAAGAATTCCAGCTGCTGGGCCTAACCATGGAAGAGAGAAGAAGAATTTTAGTAGTTGGGTGCAGTGGCTCACACCTGTAATCCCAGCACTTTGGGAGGCCGAGGCAGGCAGATCATAAGGTCAAGAGATCAAGACCATCTGGCCAACATAGTGAAATCCTGTCTCTACTAAAATACAAAAATTAGCTGGTCATGGTGGCTCGCACTTGTAGTCCCAGCTACTCAGGAGGCTGAGGCAGGAGAACTGCTTGAACCCGGGAGGCGGAGGTTGTGGTGAGCAGAGATTGCACCACTGCACTCTAGCCTGGCACCTCGCAACAGAGCGAGACTCTGTCTCAAAAAAAAAAAAAAAAAAAAGAGAGAGAATGAAAGAATTAATATTAGTAAGTGTTGGATCTTTGCCAGAAAAGGGAAGTTTCAAAATAGAGTGGTGTGTTGAACCCAACAGCGACTAGGATGTAGAAGTGAACAGGACCGCATACACTCTATACAAAGACCACAAAAGGTGCTTTTTAAATGTGTTTCATTAGGAAAATTACCTGCAATTTGTGTTTTTAAATAAGATTAGAAAAGGTTGTGGGATGGACTCCTTTCCTGCACCGAGAGTTGTCTGTGTTTCAGCTTGTTTTTCCTGTAAATACACCTGCACTTGTCATTTTACGTGTCCCAGGTTTGGTTTGGAAAATAGAGTCGTAACGATGGTCACCCAAACCGAGGGAGGTCCCTGGGGTAGCACTAGCCCCAGCCCCTAGCTGAACTAGGAAACCTCTTTCCCTAGGAGTCCCGTTCTTACAAGGTGTTCTGACCAGGACATTTCTTCAGCGTCCTGGGTGCCCCCACACACCGCAAGAGCTGGGGGAAACCATGGCTGAGCCGCAGGCGGGACAGGAGAGCGGAAGCCGAGGCGGAGTGGTCTTCCCACAGTCTTCCGGATTTGAGGTGATACCTGTTACTGGCATAGTATACTTTTGTTTTATTGTATTTTTTTTTCTTTTTCTTTATTTTTTGAGATAGGATCTTGCTCTGTCACCCAGGCTGGAGTGCAGTGGTGCCATCTGGGCTCACTGTAATCCCTGCCTCTCAGGTTCGAGCAACTCTCCTGCCTCAGCCTCCTGAGCAGCTGGGATTACAGGCGTGCACCACCAAGCCCAGCTCATATTTGCATTTTTAGTACAGATGGGGTTTCACCATGTTGTCAAGTGATCAGCCCACCTTGGCCTCCCATAGTGCTGGGATTACAGGCTTGAGCCCCCAGTGCCTGGCCTTGTTTTACTGTATTTCTTAGCAAAGGTTCAAGGAGACCTTATTCATTGCAGATGCCTGTGGGTTCTGTTTTCCTCCCCACCCTTCAGCCCTGCACTCTAGTCCCACTCCTAGTTGCTAATCCAGGCTGCCACTTTCCCATGACCCAGGAGCCCTGTGCCACGCCCAGCCATTTGAAATCGTGTTCAGGGGTGTCTGACAGCCTGTGCTCTCCTGCCCTCTTCAGCTCACCACTCAGCACCCCCATGGACATCCTGCTCTCTCAGGCCCTCGTCCTCCCTGACCCTCCAGTGAAAAGTCTAATAGCAGCAGGTGCTGATATGAGGGAGGCTGGGCTTCCCAATATACTTCATTCATCCATGAGACATTTATTAAGCACTTACTGTGGGCCAGGCAGCATGCTGGGCCTGGGATACACAGATCAACAAGATAAGGTCCTGATGGCAGGGTTTCACACACTACATAGTCCACACACAGGCATAAACACACTGGTGCAACACAATGTCATGTCTCAGTGACAGAAAGTCTGCCACTGGGATCATGTGGGATGGGCAGTCATGTTAATCAAGGAAATTCACCAGGCAGATGAGGGATAGGGATGGAGAGAAGAAATTCCATGGGGAGGAAGATGCATGGGCAGATGTGTAGGTGGGAAAGCCTTGAATGGTCCCCAAACCATAAGAGATGTGTTGCAGCCAGTGAGGGCGGGACACGAAAGACACGGTCTTTCCTCATGGAACTTGTAGTCCAGAGGGGCAGGCGGCCAGACAGGCTCAGAACAAAGCAGACAGGAAGTCGTAGTTAGTGCTACTTTTAAAAGACCAGAAAAAGCGCCAAGAGTTTTCACAAAAGGGAGACGGGACTTTGGGTTAGGGGGATCCCAGGGAGCTTCGTGGGCTGGATTTTGAAGAACACGTGGGATGGATGTGCAGAGATGGGAGAAGAATCCAGAAGAAAGAGGTAGAGTGGCCCTGCACGGTGTGTGTGAAAATAATTCCATCGCTGGGTGCAGGGCAAGCTCAGTCTCATTGATTCGAAGTGGCCCAAGAAAGTGGAATGAGACTAGCTAGTGTGTGTGTGTGAGTGCGTGTGTGTGTGTGTGTGTGTGTGTGTGTGTGTGTGTGTGTAGTCAGGATTGAGAGGCCCAGTGAGAGGAAGACGGTGACCATTTGGAGTGCTGAGTCCCAGATCCACGTGTACCCCTCAAACTGCTGGAGCTGACCTGGAGTTATGCTGGACTTGGAGGAGGCAGTGTGTGAAGCTATGGGCTAATTTTGGCACACTTTCCTTGTTTTAAATGTTCTTAATCCTTTTTCAAAAAACACATTTCTATATTAAAAAAAAAAACATGAAAAAAGGAACAGAATGGAAAATATACATAGATGTCTTTTAAGATAAAAAAATACAACTTCGGTAAAATTGCTACTGCCCTCAGAAGGCACATGTGTTCTCTGTGGTCATTAGGGAAACGAAGGAGAAGATCTGAGAGGCCCTCACATCCTTGGCCAACTTAATTTTCACAGGAACTCTACGATACAGATACTGTTACGTGAGAAAATCCAGGCCCAGCAAGGGCCTCACATGGCCAAGGTTACACGACCTATCCACAGCTGAATCAGAACTCAATCCAGAGCAGCTGATAAATGAGGCATGGAAGGGAATAAAGCTGGAAAGGGAGGTTGGTGATAAATCATGGAAGGTCTTAAAGGCCGGGCTGAAATAAAGGTGGCATGTGAAGGAAAGTTCCTGGCTCACGAGGGCAAGACCTGGAGAAGCTGAAGGGAAGAGCATGAAGTACAGCCACAGAGAGGTAGTGATTCTCATTCATCTCAGCTTCTTTGGGGATACCTCTTCTCTATGACAAAATGTGACTTGCACTCAACATCAGCATTGATTCTATGGCAAAAGAAGAAAATGTGCTTCTGTTTGTTTTCTCCTTAATGTTGTTTTGCAGAACACAGAGAACCCAGAATTATTGACCATCCCATTCTTGAGGTGAATGCTAGAAAAAGCACATCAGCCATCTGCAACTTCTCCCAAGGTGCCCTTCCCATGATTAGGACACATTCCATAATTAACACAGCAGGACAGAACAGTATTATTGGATCTGAAAGAAAATCAATGGAGACTGGGAACCTCTAAGGGCAGTTGCAATTTTCTAGATCTATTATTTTCCATTTGGAAGTTAGTGAGACAGAACACTGTGTTGATATGAAAATCGAGAGATTTATGTTGTTTCCATAGTAGCAAAAAAAAAAAAAAAACCCTCTGGAGAGGACCCCAAAATGGTAACTTGGTGCAAATACAAAGTGAAGAGTTATTTGTGGCTTGAGGTAAGTTGGAAATTGCTCCTTTGATTAGGATACGGTTGCTACAGTTTGCAATGAAATATTATTGTCTTTCTTATTTTCTTTTTCTTTCTTTAGTATCTGTTGAGAGAGTTTATGAAGAAACCAGCCAATATCCTGGAGATCCTCAGGCCACCTCAAGTACTGCTGTTTCTGTACAAAGCCTCTGATGGATTGATGTTTCATCAACTGGTACTGGGACAAGGATCCAACCACTACCATGATGAGAGCGCCGTTCAGGTCAGATAAGCACCTGCCCTGGGCGTAACTGAAGGCTTCAAGGCACCAGCCATCTCTAAGGAAGTGTCTGCTCACAAGACAGACAATCTTTCTACTGTTCCAGATGGCGTTCTGGATGTTGGCAATGTGATTTTCTCCTGGGACAAAGTCTCTTTCTTCAAAGCACAGGTGAAATCTGTTTTGGTCACTGTATTGAGTGTCCAGGTGTTTGAGCAAAGCATTCTGCACCCACTCGAAGTCTTTGCTGCTGAAGCAGAAATAGGCATCATATTTGTACCTATCAGGTCCCTGGGGATGGTCCTTGAATACCAGTTTCTGGGCCATCTTATAACAGATAAAACAAAAGCCCCGGAACCTGGCGACGATGAGGCTGGCCATGAGGAACAGAGTCAGAGTGACAGTGCATCCGATGAAAAGGGAGAACTTTAGGGACTTTAAGATTTCCTCTTCATCACAATCTTCTGTGGAAAGAGAGAAGAGGGAAACCCCAGAGAACGAATCAGGGTACAGGCAATATATGTCCGCAGGAGGTCCAACTATAGTGACATTGGTATGATTAAGCCAATTGACAAAAGTGCTAAGTTCACATTCACAAATGAACTTGTTATGAGTTATATCCAAGATATTAAGTGATACAAATAAATTAGGATCGGGAGCTAGGAGCTGGTTTCTGGATATGTCCAGGATCTCTAAATTAGCAGGTAAATCATTGTGAGAAAGAACTGTCAGCCTGTTGGAGTTGAGGCTTAGTCCCCTTAATGCAGTCAGATGGCTAAATATTGCTGGTGGAAGGAAACTAAGATAGTTATTATTCAAATACAGAACTTGAAGATGAGAAAGTCCCTCAAAAACATCCCAACAGAGCCCAGTTTCCCAGGCAAGTTGCAACATATTTTCTCCAAGGAAAAGCTGTTCTAAGCTGGGATTCTCTGAAGAGGTCTGACCTCCATTACAGGAGGATAAGCGGTTTTGATTTAAAATGAGAATCTGGAGATAAGGTACCTGTAGGAGAAAGTAGAGAATATCTAGATTTTCTAGCCTGTTTTCTGATAAGTGGATGAAGTTGGCTGTAAGGTTGATCTTTGGCAAAGTTGCTAGTTTATTGCCACCCAAGAAGATGTTAGGTATGCTTGGAATAAAATAAATGGTTGTAAGAGCATTGTCTCGGAGATCCAAGGTCTGTAATGTTTCCAGGAATTTGAATGTTTGGTCCTGAATTATTCCAATGTGATTCTTTTGCAAATCAATGTTGGTTATCTTAGGTAATCCATAGAAATTCCAATCGTAAAGTTCCCCTATAAGGTTATATGACAAATTGAGAACTTGGAGCTTGTCAAGTCCGTAAAATGCTTCATCTGCAATCTTATTTATCTTGTTGTAGGCAAGGTTCAGAACCTTCAAATCCCTGAGTCTCTCAAAGACTCGAGAGTTCAGGGAGAAGATAAACCCATGTGAAAGATCCAGGTGTCTCACGGAACATCTGGCCAGGCCAGCAAATGTGCTCTGGTTAGGATCTTTGATGTTATGGAAGCCAAATGAGGCACCCATGGTGTGGTAGGCAAGAGTCAAAGAGAAGGCCTGACTTCCGGTGATGGCATTGCTGAAGTTTCCTGTGATGTCCACTGTCCAGCCATTTCCAGAAACATCTAGAGTCTCCAGCACCATGTTTCTGAAGGGGTTCATACATTTTCCCCAGTCCACTGAGACTCTGCTGTACAAATTATTAGCCGCGAGGCTAAGGAAGGAGAGCGTTTTCCCTTGGAGGGGTTTGAGCTCATGTTCACATACAAGGAATATTTGGTTAGAGGAAAAATCTATGGACTTTAAGGACTTCAACTCCCCAAATGAAGGATGAAGGTAAACGCTACGAATCTGATTTTTTGAAAGATCCAAGCGAGTTAAAGACTTTAAATTTCTGAAATAACCATCTTTTAATACAGCATTGGAGAGACCACAGAAAAACAGTCTAAGTTCGAACAGATGGAACAGTCCCTGAAAAGCATCTGGGTGCAAGAAGCTTATCTGACTGTCTCCTAGGTCCAGGATTCTAAGGTTGGGCAGGTTTCTGAAGGCCTCCTTGTCGATGGTCAAGGGGGTATACTGGCTCCCGAGCTCCAGCAGCTGCAGCTGCTCCAGGAAGGGGAAGGATGAAGCAGTGACTGTCCTGATATAGTTGAAGCTCAGCAGGAGCCTCTCGGTGGTGTTGAGGACCCGGGGGACCTGGGTGAGATTGCAGAAACGATATAAGGCTATCTGACCATCAAAGGAGCAGGAAGGAATTCCAAACACAGGACTGGCCACAAGCACCACTCTTAGGAGAAGGTCCAGGTGGTCTCCCATGATCCTATGGAGAAGAAGTGAGAATGAAAACACAGCCATCTAAGCTTGAGGTATTGCAGCGGGGTCTTTAGATCCTAGGGGTATTCTCTATGATGTACCTGCTCCCTTCAACCCCTTTGTTCCTCTGACTCCGCAAACATGGCTGCTGGCAGATACAGACAAAGCTATTCTTACTCCTTCTGTTTTTCTGAGACAAGGTTTCACTCTGTCGCCCAGGCTGGAGTGCAGGGGTATGATCACAGCTCACTGCCACCTCTGCCTCCTGGGTTCAAGCCATCCTCCCATCTCAGCCTCCTGATAAGCTGGAACTACAGTCATATGCCACCATGCCCAGCTAATTTTTGTATTTTTAGTGGAAATGGGGTTTCACCATGTTGCCCAAGCTGGTCTCCAACTCATGAGTTCAAGTGACCTGCATGCCTCAACCTACCGAAATGCTGGGATTACAGGTATGAGCCACCATGCCTGTCCTATTCTTGGTCATCCTCTGTCAAACAGTTATGTTGAATTTTCTATACACTAGGCACTATTCTAGGTAATTAATAAACATTTCACTTAATCTTCTTTAAAATGTTTTATTATTCTAAATTAAAATGAAAAAACAGAAATGGGGGTCTCACTTCGTTGCCCAGGCTGGTCTTGAACTCCTGGGCTCAAGCAATCCTCCCATCTCAGCCTCCCAATGTGCTGGGATTACAGGCATGAGCCACCACATCCTGCCTTCACTTAATCCCTATAATAACTCTTACGTTTGTTCATTCATTCATTTGTTTATTCATTTATGATTTGCTGAGGGGAGCTGGAGAAAACAGCTGGAAGAGACATGACATTGCTTCACTTCAGCCAGGCACCTCCCTCCCAGCCCACAGAAGGCTCGGCTGAGTGGAAAATAAATTCACTTAATTTCTCCCTTAACTTGTCTAGGCTACTGGTCCATCTCCATTTATCCGAACTTACTCCACGCACGGTCCATCCCATCATGCAGAAATTGGGCCCTTTCTGCCATCCCCAGAAAGAGTCAGATGCGATCAGTTTCATTAAAGTGTGATAAGTACCTAGTGCTCACCTGGCAGCTGTGCGATTGACTGTGTGAGTGTTCAACAAACAGAGGCCGGCCAACTTGCTTAAGTCTTGTGGGGGAGTTGACCATCTGTCTGGGTTGTGTTTTCTTTACCGGTGCAGCAGAAATGGTGATCAATAAATGTGTCTGGCTTATGTTTCAAGTATTGTGGTGGGTGCTATGAGGAGAAAACATGCAAGGACCCCACCCGCAGAGAGCTTGGTGTCTAATATTTGCATAGCACCTCCATCTTTGGTATCTGCAATGCATTAAATTTGCTCTAAATGTAACAAAAGGCCTCTGATGGAAGGTAAAGGAAGAGTTACATGGCTCAGAGGGCAGGAGAATAAGAGAAAAAATAAATGAAAGTAATAGGAAGAAGGCAATGATTTATAAAGAGCAAGAATCCCATGAGACAGCATCACAGGCAGAAGTGTCAGTACTGGAGATTAAGCCTGGAGCAGTCACGGTGCTGGAGGTGTGGGCTAGCTCTGACGAGGTTGTGCTTTGTGTTGGGGTTCCACAGAAACCGTGAGCTATAGCAAATCGAAAGTAGGCATCGGTGCCAGGGTGGACTCAAAGTATCAAACTCAGGCATCTAGTAATTGTTAGGAAAAACTTGGCGAGAATGGTTATCACCACTCTAAACGGCTTCACCATATCCATCCAGAGGCTCAGGGTGACAACACGGCAGAGTCGCCCTCATTCTTTTAAGCATCCCCCCATGTCCAATCCATCCGCAAGTCCCATTGGTGCCACCTCCCAAGCCGACCCACTGCCCTCCTGTAAGCGGCCGCCATGTCTTTGTGTGGGCCACACTGGAGACTCCTCACTGGCTCTCTTATTTCTGGTCTTGCTTTCATTTTCCAAACAGCAGCCAGCAGTTCTTTTAAAAACATAATCTGGTTGATATCACTCCTCTTTGTACAGGGTTCTACCCTTCCTTCCCACTGTACTTGAAATAAAATCCTACAAGGACTTGCACGATTCAGCTCTGTTGACTGTCAACATTATCTTGAATAGTTTTTTTCCCTCAATAACTCATTCAAAAAGCATGTGCTGAGCACGTATTATGTGTTTTATTTATTATTAATTTATTTGAGACAGGGTCTCATTCTGTCACCCCGGCTGGAGTGCAGTGGTGCTATCTCAGCTCACTGCAACCTCTGCCTCCTGGGTTCAAATGATCCTCTCACCTCAGCCTTCCGAGAAGCTGGGATTAGAGGTGTGTGCCATCATGCCCGACTAATTTTTGTGTTTTTAGTAGAGACGGGGTTTCACCATGTTGGCCAGGGTGGTGTCAAACTCCTGACCTCAGGTGATCCACCCGCCTCAGCCTCCCAAAGTCCCAAAATCCCAAAGTGCTGGGATTACAGGTGTGAGCCAGCACACCAAGCCTCGGGCACTGTTTTAAAAGCTGGAAATACAGCTGTGAACAAAATAGACCAAGACTGCCCTCATGGAGCTTACATTCTGGTGGACGAAGAGGCGACAATGAAAGAGGAAATAGGTACTGACAGGTGGAGGTAAATGCAATGGAGGAAATTAAAGTGGAAAAAGGAGATGGGGCTGCCAAGCCTGGTGCAGTGGCTGCTCTTTATAGAGAGGAGTCAGAAAAGGCGTCTCTGATGTAACAAGATTAGGGCAGGGACCTGAAGGAAGTAAGGAAGGGCTCTGGAGAGGCCCAATGTTCGAGGGAGAGGAGCAGCCAACACCAACGTCCTACAGTGTGAGCAATTTACTTACTCCTCATTTCAAAACGTCAAATGTAATAAAAATGTTAGAGAAGAGGCAGGGCGTGGAGGTTCACTCCTGTAATCCCAGCACCTTGAGAGGCCAAGGCAGGTAGATCACTTGATCCCAGAAGTTTAAGACCAACCCCGGGCAACATGGCAAAAACCCATATCTACAAAACCATGCAAAAATCAGCTGGGCGTGGTGGTGCATACCTGTAGTCCCAGCTACTCGGGAGGCTGAGGTGGGAGTTTGAGGCTGCAGTGAGCTGTGTTTGTGCCACTGCACTCTAGCCTGAGCAACAGAGCAGGACTCTGCCTTGGGGAAAAAAAAGTTTAAGAAATGTCAGTTGAATATTATCTTACTTTTCTTAAATCCAAGCATATCCTTTATAAGTAGGTGTGAGTGTTTAGCTCATTTCATCTTCTAGTTGCACACAAGCATTCACATATTGAGACATGTACCAACTCATTACAAATTACTTCCTCTCTTATTTCTTTTCTATATCCCAGTTGGGACATTATACTGATTTCCATAAAATTATGCGTGTAGGTGGATTATGTTACATCTATGAATGCCATTTCAAAATAATAAAGGGGGCATTTCAAATATTTTGGTGTAAAACAGAGGCCTGGGTCTGCTGGCGCTGCAGGGTGGAGAGGTGGAGATTTCAGATCTTTTTCCACATTCATGCCAGGCACTCTGATGACTAAAGCCAGGAATCCTGCGAATCCTATGTATTCTTTCCACCGACATAGTTTGTGACTGTTTTGCTTTGTTTGAGACACGGTCTCACTCTGCTGTCCAGGCTGGCGTGCAGTGGTGCGATTATAGCTCACTGCAGCCTCAATTTCCCAGGCCCAAGTGATCGTCCCACCCCAGCCTCCTGAGTAACTGTGAGCACAGTTGGATGTCACCATGCCAGCTAATTTTTGTAATTTTTTTTTTTTTGTAGAGACAGGGTTTTGCCACATTGCCCAGACTGGTCTAGAACTCCTGGGCTCAAGCAATCAGCCCACCTCTGCCTCCCAAAGTGCTGGGATTACAGGCATGTGCCTGGCCAGTGTTCGTTTCTTTTGTAGGTGATGAGATTGAGTAATGCAAAAAAAAAAAAAAAAAAAAGAAAAAAAAAAAAAAGAGCCACTTCCTGTCTCAATGAATTTCTTGCAGCTTTGAGTGGGCCTCGGAGCTAATGACCTTGCATTTATACATGACACACTCAGGCGGGAGGCTGCATTTTGGAAAACGAGACAAAAGTTCAAAGTGATCTCAACAGATAAAATGAAGAATTATTGAAAGAAAATAGAAACCAATCAGGAAAGATGTGGGTGTCACAGTTCAGAAGAAAATCCTAAAGGCAAACGCCATCCCTCCTACCTGCAGGCTTTCACAGGTGCCATGGGAGGTGCTCTGTTCTGTCTCTGCCATCCTCAATTACACATTCATCACTGACATCCCACAGTGTCCAATAATATCAAATACTCATCATGATGATAAACCAACTGAAAAAGAGCAGAGTGGCATCTATGAAGAGACGGACAGATATCATAAGGAACAAGATGAGAGGCAGTTACTGCAATGGGCCCTAAATCCAGCTCCAGGGTTCCTGGCATGTAATTGTTTAAGGCTGGAAGATAGAGATAAGGGTGTGTGGTTGGAAGCCTGAGCCCTGACTCAGTGGTTCCTGGGGTGAAGAGTCTGAAGATGGACTTCAGATGAGACAAGAATCAGGCTTTGCCACCCAAGGAGGAAAATAAATGGTAATTTTAAGACCATATTTGTATTGGGTTTCACAAAGTCTTTTCCACATTTTACAGTAAGAAGTGGATTCTGAGTGCCCTACTGGGCATGTAAGCACATCCGCCTCATTGCTCACACCTGAGGGTGTTATGGTGGGTTCCTGTGCTCAGTCACACTGCCCATAAGCAGACAACATGTTTTTAAACCTTTTGAAGTCTTGGACTCCTTTGAGACTCTGATGATAGCTTTGGTTCTTTTTCCTACAAAAATGCACATTTGCATCACAAATCCAATTTTGAACCCAGTTTCAGAGGATTCACTGATTTCCTGGGGCCTGTCCATCTCCATGTCACATTCAAGGACCCTTAGTTTCTGTTAAACAATCACACTTTAGGTTCCAGAACAGGGGTTGGAAAGCATTTTCTCTAAAGGGCCAAAGGGTAAATATTTCAGGTTTTACAGTCCAAACACAGACCATAGTTTGCTGATCTCTATTCAAGAAGAAAAGAGAATCAAAATTTTGATTTCAGAAACGAGGATTTTAAGTGACTGTAAGAAATATGTTCCAATATTGAACAACCAGTATTTACAGGAAAGAACAAACTTGGACCCCAAGTTGCTGACGATTTTGCAGCTGCTATTTTATCCAAACAGAAAGAAATTCTCATCTCATGAAACCGGAGAAATCCCTGAAGACATGGGAGTGAGAATGCCAGCTCCGAAGAACAGTTATTTTAGTTTAAATTCTTTTGAGACAGAGTTTTGCTCTTGTCCAGGCTGGAGTGCAATGGCTTCATCTTGGCTCAATGCAACCTCCGCCTCCCAGGTTCAAGTGATTCTCCTGCCCCAGCCTCCTGAGTAGCTGGGATTACAGGCATGTGCCACCACGCCCAGCTAATTTTGTATTTTTAGTAGAGACAAGGTTTCTCCATGTTGGTCAGGCTGGTCTTGAACTCTCAAACTCAGGTGATCCACTTGCCTCAGCCTCCCAGATTGCTGGGATTGCAGGCATGAGGATTATGCCTGGGATTACACCTGGCCTAAATTATCTGTTTTTATGGATGACTCAGTGTTGATTTCCAACATATGCCATGGCGTGACCTTGAATTTGTGGTAAAGATGAGTGAAAGCCCCAAACAAAGTATGTTCCGGGATAGCAAATTTTCAAGTCTATAATAGGGAAGCTAAAATGAAAGTAAGGAAGGTGGATAAGGCCAGCTGAACAAATGGATGTGAAAGAACATTATCAGGGCTTATGTTATATTACAAAGACAGCACGCAGACCAATTTCTTTATGAAGTACAGAAAGGCATGAAATAATGACATTTTTGTCTCTGAAGTAGATCTCTGTGGGTTAAATGGCTGGACAGGTAAGCAGAGGAACCAGGTGAGCAGGCGAACAGAGGTGTGCAGAGAGGCAGCTCCTGCAGAGAGCATGGGAGGAAGTGCCCACCGAACGGGAGCCAGAGCTAAAACGGGCGGAAGTAAATCTCGAATGAGCACTGGGATTGGGGAAATCTAATCTAAAGAGGAGAACCAGACTGTGAAGTTGTTCCAGACCCGATCAAACCTCCGTGAGAAGAGAGTGCAAGGACGGGCTCCACGCGGCTGAGGTTGCCACTGCAAAGGCGCAGAGGACAGAGCCCGACCCCAGCGGAGGAGTGCGCCGTCTAGCGGTTATAGAGGGAGGAAAGGGAGGGACAGAAACAATTTCTCAAGGGGGCAGTGCGCTTCTCAACCATCGTTAAAAGGATGCTAAAAAGCAATGTGTATAATTACTGCTACAATTAGTTCTTCCATCAGGCGACACACACATTCCTTTTTACAAGCAATTGCGCTATGCAAAATCACACAATGAAAAACACAGGGCTCATGGGAAAAATGGAGCTGGAGTGATTCACACTGGAAAACTTTTCAGTGGCATATAAAGAAAGGATTGGGCCGAGTGTTGTGGCTCATGCCTGTAATCCCAAGCACTTTGGGAGTCCGAGGCGGGGGAATCACCTGAGGTCAGGAGTTCGAGACCAGCCTGGACAACATGGTGAAACCCCGTCTCTACCACAAATACAAAAATAAGCTGTGTGTGGTGGCAGACGCCTGTAATCTCAGCTATTAGGGAGTTTGAGGCAGGAGAATCGCTTGAACCCAAGAGGCGGAGGTTGCAGTGACCCAAAATTGTGCCATTACACTCCAGCCTGGGTGACAAGAGCAAGACTCCGTCTGAAAAAAAAAAAAAAAAAAAAAGGATTGGAGCCCCTCCCTTATGGTGGCTTAAGAAATGCATAATAAGTACTATAATAAATATGGCACTTGACTTTGAAAACGACCAGCAGTTTGTTTGTGGAAGTGGGCATTTGAAGCTCTGCAGCTTGTGAGTTATTTTTATTTTTTTGAGACGAAGTCTAGGTCTGGCACCCAGGATGGAATGCAATCCAGCTCACTGCAGTCTCCACCTCCCAGGCTCAAGTGATTCTCCTGCCTCAGCCTCCTGAGTAGCTGGGATTTCAGGCATGCACCACCATGCCTGGCTAATTTTTGTATTTTTAGTAGAGATGGTGTTTCACCATGTTGCCCAAGCTAGACTCAAATTCTGACCTCAGATGATCCACCCACCTCGGCCTCCCAAATTGCTGGGATTATAGGCATGAGCCACTGCGCCCGGCCAGTGAGTTACTGTGAATGAGGGAAGAAGGGTTATTTGGTATCAGTGGGGAAGTTACAGCAACAGATGTGGGTGCATATGGCTCAGATCACACATGGAGAATGAGGTAGCCAACTTACATTGGAGGTGTATTTTGCGTATTCTTTTGTGGCTTGGCTCAGCTGGGTGCAGTTTTCTGCCTTTACATGCAAGAAATTGCACATAAGCAAATGTGAAATTCACATTCTTGAATATGTTGATATTATTTTCTAGCATATCAATGATTTCCCTAACACGTTAATATTGTTCCCTAAAACATCAATCATGTTAGAACACAAATTTACATTCCAACACAAGCCTTACAGCAGCATCGACTATACTCTAATTCAAGGATTACAGTTCAAATTAAGAGCAGAAAAGATGCAGGTTCTATATATGATTCTACCCCCTGCACCTGTGAGGCAGAGTATGGAGAACTCACGGGACTGTCTTGAAAATCAGCCCTGGGCATGAGTGCAGACTCAGGCCCTAATGAGCTCAGGGACTTGGGCAGAGTGTGTCACCTCTCACAGACTCAGTGTCCTCATGTTTCGTTGAAAGACTAAACAAGATTAGTAGCTCTCAGCCTTGGCTACACATTAGAATCACCTGGGAAGTCTTCAGACCCAGGAAGCCCAGGCTGACCACAGATGCATTAAATGAGCTTCTTGGGTTTGCAGGTTGCGGGGGGGTGCTCTCTCAGGAATCTGTATCCTTAGCCATTGTGTGAATTTTATACACACTCAAGTTTGAGAATCACCGATGAAAACTAATGGTTCTCAACCTTGGCCACACACTGGAATCACCAGGGGACCTTTAAAAAACACAAGTGTCTGGGTCCCATCTGAGAAAAGCTGATGTAGTTGGTGTGGGGTGTGGCTTGGGCATCCGGGGTTGTTCAGAATCTTCAGGTGATTCCACCGGCAGACAGTCTGATCACCTGGTCTTCTACCTGCAACCCTGACTGCACCTTAGAACCACGTGGGCTGCCTAAAAACAGTACTGACAAACAATGCAACACAGAACTAACTGCCGCATGGCCCGGCGATTCCGCTTCTGGGTGTGTACCCAAAAGAATTGAAAGCAGAAACTCAACAGATATTTGCACACCAATATTCATAATAGCATCACTATAGCCAAAGGGTGGAAACAACCCAAAGGTCCACCAATGAATGAATAAATGAAGAAAATCTGTTGTCTTTATAACGGGGTATTTTTTAGCCTTAAAAAGGAATGGAATTTTGATACATGGTACAAGATGGATGAACTTTGAAGACATCATGCTGAGTGAAATACACCAGTTACAAAAGAACACGTATTGTATGAATCCACTTATATGAAGTATATATTTTACGTCTATGTTACCACAATTTAAAACAGTAAATTAAACCCAAAAACTCACTACAGATACCCAAAGCTGACTTACCAATATTCCAGTTCCACAGGCCTCTGAGGCCTGGAAAGTGCACGTTAGAGCTGTATCCCCGTCACTTTTGAGGCTAGTGGACTCAGGCCACGCTTTGAGAAGTGCTGGCCTAATGGTTCCCCTCCAACTCAGAAACCAGGTGATTCTCTTAGAGGAAGAAGGGCTGGTAAGAAAATCTGAGGGCTGTTGAGTATTGGGTTTTTATTATTAAGGCTGATTTAACTTGTATCTAGGGCTTTGAGGGGGAAAAACAGAAACAGCACAATCAATGCAGGCCTCGATACTCCTGCCAAGCACTGTTAATTAAGATAATGAGGCCAGAGGGAGAAGGGTCAGTATCCCTTTCATTTGAGCTGAATTCATTTAGCTTTAATCCGAGCCATTAGCTGGGCTGGTTCTCTTTCTTGACTTAATTGCCTGGACAGCAGAGCTGCTCACCTTCACTTGGGGAGTTGTGGCCATGGTATCTCTGCAGAAAACACCGCCTGCATTTCGGGAGTGCCTCTGCTCCTGGAGCACCCACATATTGTGGATGCCTCCAGCTGAGCCAGGGCTGCTCCTGTGCCAAGTTAATGCTTGATGCCAAACAGATAACACCAGTCACAGGCTTGCTGGCAGGCCCGGGTTCTGAGCGGGGCTTGGGCTGGCTGTGGTCA